AAGAAATAGAAGAAAGTTCCAGATGATATTGCTCATGACAAAAGGTGTTGCACTCTCTGACTTCTCTTATGCCTCCTAATGCAATTTTCCTCATCCAGATTACTACTTTTGTCTCCATCCCCTATTTCGGGTCCTACAGTAGCAATAAATCTTACTGTTGCCTAGGGGCTGATCTTTGGCTCTATGTCCTATTTGTCATCCTACAGGAACCCATCAATAGACAAGGCCTCTCCACATGGATTCTCCAACTCTTCTTCCATTGCATAGTTTTGTACCTACATTCATATTTATGGGTGCCCCATCCCAGCCAGCATCCCAGAGATAGAGTTCAAAAGTCAGTAAGTGCTGAAGAGGCTGCTAGAAGCTGATAAGGAGAAATAACAGATTTTAAGTCAAAATGGGGAAGAAAAGAGTAAGAGAAAGGGAAAGTCAGTTGGTGGTTAAGGGAACAAAAGACAAGGAAGATCAAAAGGAAATAGCCTTCATTCTAACTCAGAGTCAGCATAGATTTTTTTAAAAGGAAGCTTTACTTTAATTTAGTCTAGCATTTAGACACTAAACGTAAAGAGATTTTTCACCAACGAAGGAGAGTATTGACTGACAATCTGTGCGAGCACCATTTTCATGTTCATAGTGAAATTCCCTTTGGGGTGACAGGGGCTGGGAGTGGGGGATGACCCAGCAGGCAAATGAGAGGCAGTCTCTGTTCATGCCGGGGCGACCTCAGCCCTTACAGAGCCATCCAACTGTTTGACCCCATCACATTTGCCAGGCAAAGCAATGCACGCTTTGTTCCTGGATTTGCTTGCTTTCATATTAAGCAGCTGATGTTATCCAAAGCCATCCATGATGTAGTTAATGAGAACAGAAGCCATTTCCAAGGCGTAAGAAGAGGGTACTTCAGCTCACAGTTGAATACGGCTGAAGGGGTTTGTGTGCATTCTGCTTCCCACGGCTGGGAACTCAAGTCAGGAAGCCTCCCAACAATTGTGTGTATTGTTTCAAGTAACCATAAAAATGTTCAGCCATTGAACTTTTCATGTTCTGAGCATTGAAGATCTTGGATTGTTAACAGCCACTTCTCTCATGGTAAAACTCTACCATCATCAGTAACTTAGCCAAGATACTGAGGTTGCCTTCAAGAACTGAATGACATATCCACATTTCCAAGGGAAAATTGCAACACCCTTCTTGACTTTTAATTCATGTGAGAAAAGGACAACACATCCAAGAATGAAGAATTTGTCAGGAATTAAAATATGGAAGTAACTCTCATAGGCTGTGTTCAGATGAAAACTTCTTTTCCTTCAAATTTGTGTGTGTGTGTGTACATGAGCTTAAAGTCCAGCTATATCACAGAGCCCTGGCCTTATAACCTCGTTGTCTTCAAGAAGGAAATTTCAGGAAAGCTAGATCAAAAGTTAAGGGGAGTTGGTGAAACATTGAGATGCATTAGAAAGTGGGCACTTGCATTTAAAAGTGGTTCCTTGGGACAGTGTGCATAAAATAAACTTAATTATGTATATAAAACATTTAGCTAGTGTATGGCACATAATGGGCATTCAGTAACTATCACTATTATCATTGAGAAACTCTAGAAGCCTGAAATCCTGGGGATCTGCCTTAATTCCTTTTATAATTGGTCTGTGATCCTAAATGTCTGTCCAAGAGAAGGAGGGCCTTTGCCTCTTCTTGGTCCTTATTGTAAACTCACTTTCTTTTCTATAAACTCCGAGATGCCAGATTTAAGGTCTTCTATGTTCCAGCAGATGTCAGTCTGGCCTTACTGGAGGCTAGGGAAACTGAAGATTCACAAGTCTGCCTCCAGGAATGGAAAGGAGGGTGAAGTGTCTTTCATAGGTCATCCAAGAAAGGAGGCCGGAAGACTTCTAGGCCCACTTCCATTTCGGGAAAGTACATTGTAAATTTTGAGGGTTTGTGTTTTTAATATAAACACATACTTTAATTTAACAAACACTAAATAGAAAGGTGACTGTGTGCTAGGTTCTGGAGATAGGATTCGTTATTGTAGTTCCTGTCATCTGGACTTCCAAGTAATTTTTTGGCTCCCACTAGTAGTGATTAGCACTTAACATAGCAATAAGAGGCATCTATTATTATGTGTTGAATGAATGAAATGAAATGCATGCATGAAAACAAAAGTGGTGTTTTCTTCCAGAAGAGCATCTGAGAAGGAAGCTGGAGAAATAGCCACTTCTCCCTCAGTTTTGGAGAAAACAAAACCCTAAGAATAAATTAATTGATGGGTATTGATCTTGAGAAGAAAGAGGAAAGCAGGGGGAATCCCTGATACCCGTGAGAGGGAAGTAACCATGTCATGGGAGCCACCAGCAGGGGAAAAATGAGCCCTGGATCATCAGGAGGGGGCCGTCAGGGGTTCCGGCAATGTCTAGAGAACCGAGTGCTTTCAAACAGCATGATCTGGCTCTGGACGGTCTCTGCGACCACGGTGCATGTGTTGCCTTAGGCTTTTGGGCAAAGAAGGCCACAGTCAGATAGAGCAGGGACATGGGACAAGCATCACTAGTAATTTTTCCTTCCCATGATGAAAATTCTGTGATATGAACAGAGGAGGGACTCCATCTCAAGGCTAAGACCCTATTTTAAAAACCAGGGAGTTAGGAGGTAAGATTCTTAACCTACTTTATGGTAATCAGTCAATAACCTACCCTATCTTAAGGCAGGGCAAGTAGTCCTAAATGATATGTTCCCACTGCTTGAGAGTGACCACTGTCTTGGAGAAGAACAGGATCAAGAAATTCCTTGTGTTAAGTTTTTCTTACAGACTATCTGAAGGACTGACTATGGATGGTGATATAATGTCTCTCACCGGAGACAGACATCATAGGACCACATGTCAAGCCTATGGCCCCCACCCCCACCCTGGCCCTTTGTGCCATTCTTGAAATCCTTTAAAGACACAAATCCTAAGCTTTAAGCATGCCTCTTCTCTGGGGTTGCCCACACTCCTCTTTCTTCAAGTGTGTAGTTTGCTTTTAATAAAGCCTTCATGCTGCTCAACTTTCTGTGTTTTGTTCCTGTGTTCTTCCAGTGGTGTGTTACTTTGCTATTTCATTCAATTTTCTAGACTTAAGCACATCTTCTTTCTCTCTGTCCTACCTCAGACAAGTAGAGAGGGGATACTGAGAGCTCTGATTTGGGCTTGCAAGTTTCCATCACCTGGGTGACCAGAATGGGACTGAAGCTATGCAATCATGCTCTTTAGCAGTCTTCCTGAAAATCTCCTTTCTGTACCTTTGGGAAGTTCTCAGAATGTAATCTCATTCCACCCAGTGCTCTGAGGGTCCCTCACATCCTGCGGTGGTAGGGGTTTAGTTCCCATGCCATGTAGATTCAAGCAGACACTGGACAACAGGTGGCCCTGGCATCAGGAGTTGGCAAGGGATTTGCCCTATATCAAGCAGGAGTTCAGTGAGCTTCTCTTTTCTCTCTCTGTTCTTCTTGCTCACTGCTGCTGGCATGGCTGCTGGCATTGACTTCTACTCTCGCTTTAACAAATCCCTTCCTTACCTACACTCATCCAACCTGTTCAAGAATTCTTTCTCGATCAGAGTCAAGAACTCTCCCCATCCAGGTTGAGGTTTCACCTAGAGCACAAGGAGAGGCCTCCCCAGACGCAGCTGCCCAACAACAATAGGAGGCAGATACTATCAGTAGTCAGAGGGGCTGGGTTTCAATCCTAGCCCTACCACTTGACCAGGATGAGACCTTTTGCCACCAACTAAACCTCCCTAGGAAGCTGGGTTCCTTACCTGTCAAATGAAGATTTTACTAGAACCTGCCTCATGGGATTGTACGAGGATTAAATGAGATCATCCATAGAAAAACTGTATCTGAGTAGCTGGCATATATTTAGAGTGCAATAAATATTAGCTATTATTAGGAATCATTTTTCTAAGACCGTTTCTCCAACCATAAAATGACAGAGTAAGCTGGCCAATTTACAAGATCTCCTACAGATTAAAAAAAAAAATCCTGATTTCATACTTTCATTTCCATTTATGTACTAAAATAGGAGTGTGTGGAATACAGGCAAGCCAGCTCTCTTAATCAAGAAAGAAAGCAAAGAAGGTGGACTGATAAGCAGAAAAGTAAATGAGCGGATTACCTTGTGCTTGCAATGAGAAACAATATGTACTTTCAAAGTAAGATAGTATACTACCTCCTCCCACTCCATTTCAAGCAAGGAAAGCTCTAGAAGCAGCTTTTGCACATCTGATGTAGCTCAGACTGGCTGAAAGAAAACCTAAAAAAACAGGGGTCCTTTGTCTAATATAGTCTGGCTGGTCTGACATTTGTGGACTCCAGTCTCCCACAGAGCTCAAGGCAATTGTTTCCCTCCCTTTCTGCTGTTAAAACACCAGACCTGGGAGTCTCCCTGTTTAATAATTAACTAACCTTCATGATCCCAAGTCACAAGGTGCACGGGCTTCCCAAGTTCAAGTGTAAGGGCAAGTACTCTACTCTAAATTTCAGTGGCAGGAGAGTCCAGATCTTTTAAAACAGAGTCTCATCTCACAGTTTTGGCTATGCTCACATATACATTTTCAAAGTTGAAGTAAAGAAATGAATATCCCCCTCTCTTCCTGTCTCCTTATTGTCCTACCCACAAGTCCCATCTGCTCAGTTTGGACAGTATCACTTGCCTTTTTAAAGATCATGTTAGGAATCGGCCTTTGTGGATCCAGGCATTTCAATTCAACTTCAGGAAGAAACAAGTTTAATACTTAACCTCGAAGGGAGCAAAGGGCATTTAGAATAAGATATGGAGCCCCGGGAGGCAAAGAGAGAAAGTCACATAGGCAGAATGACAGGCAAAGGAAAAGGGAGTCATCAAATTCTGGATGTAAGAACATTAGACACTCTGCCAAGTTCTTTACAGAGCGCTCCTTATTTTGCTCAGTACATTCGTCAGATGCACATGGCAAGCAGCAGCCTGTGCCTCCACGGTCTGCCTGCGGAAAGCTTGTGCTGACTGAAGCTCAGAATGGCGGTTTTGGTTACGTAATTCCAGGATGAATCTCTTCAACCTCTAGACTTCGGAAGCTGCCCACAAAAGACAAAAGGAATGATGTCTCAATTAAGGTATTGCTCAGGAAACCTTTGTAACTCCTTATAATCAAGACTAAGTCTCCTATCTACCCTGAGAAATAGTGTTTGCTGGGGCATCGAAGGCACAACAATTGATTACTTTCACTGCTTTCTTCACAGGCTGTAAAACTGCCAGGGGCCTGATCAGGTAGTAAATAGATAATATGCAGTTTTGTGAAGCTATCTTATATGAAATCTCGAGTTTTAAAGACTATGCTTGGTAAGTTATTTACATATAATTTTTAGTTTCAAAAGCTAGGTAGCTGATTAAAATAAGGATCCAAAGCAAAATTATTTTTGCTCTCCACAACAAATCCTGAGCGATTTTCTCTACCAACCTGCAGATCTCCTTGCTCCTAGTACCTGAGGAATCTTCATAATGGCCTTCTGGGATTATTATACCATTTAAAAACAAGAAAACCAAGGCACCGACAGATGTGATGAAAAGAGCATTGACTGAGCATTTCTGGGGCCTGGGTTCCAGCCCCTGGTGTATATTAATTGGTGTGAGTTTTGGGACAAGTCATAACTTCACATAACTGCATTTTCTTTTTGTTTAATGAGCATAAAAACAAGAGAAACATCCAATTATTATCTATTATGGACCAGACACAAGGATATGCATTTTACATGCATAATCTCATTTAATCCTCACAGCAGTCAAAAGGAATAGGTACTTTTATCTCCATTTTATAGATAAGGAAACTGATCTCTAGAGAGGTTGAGCAAATGGATGTGCTCCTAACTGCAGAGCTGGAATCTGATTCCAGGTCTTTATGTCACCAGAGCCTGGGCTCTTAACTCTTATGACCTCTCTACCCTTGGTACCTTTGGACTTGCTGTTTCCTCTGCCAGAAAACTCTTCCGGATTTCCCTAAGGCTGACTCAGCCCCATCCTTTAGGTATTAACTCAAAGCAGCAGGTTTGCAGAGGCTTTTGCTCAGGGCTGTTGCATTGCATAACTCCAGGGAGCACTGTTCACAGAGGCTGTAATGGGAATGGTGCCTCGTTCGAATTGAATATGGCAGCTCCGTTGTCCCTGATGACCTGGATGAAACCCTGGTCATTCTCTATCACCCCATCTGGTTTCATTAACATCTTAGCATTTACCCCAATCTCAAATGAACTATATTATTTATGTAACTTATTTATTGTCTGTGGCCCCCAAGAGTATACAAACTTCATGAGGACAGGAACCTGAAGCTGAAGACTTGTTACTCAAGACTTGTGACAGGCCATAGTAGGTGCTTAATAAATCACTTGTTGGGTGTTCTAGAATATGATATACCAACTTCGGATAATCCTTTTGCCCCATCAGAAGCACACAGTTGTTGTAGGATATGAAGTTTCAAGACATTTTGGGCATTGTGAAAATATTAATGTAGTGAGTTAAGATTACAAACTACTACTTACATTTTCTATGCTTTAAATTTTATGAACTTTGCAGCAAACCAGGACTCTCAGTATCACAGGCTAAACAGACATTTATGTGACAAAAATTAGGAAGTCTCAGAATATCAAGTGCGAGAGAAGATATTAATCAACATATATCACATTATTAGTACACTCCCAAAATATGAAACCGCTTGGTAAACCAATTAGATGTGACCTTATTAAGTTAGCATTCCCATTTCCTATGACACAGCGGTTCTTCTCCAAAGCAGGTACCTCAGAGACACTCATTCCTTACTCCCAGGAGATGGGGTAAGAATGTTCCTAGTGACCCCATTTAGGACAATGACAGCAACAATGGAAACAGCTCAAATGTTCAGTGACAAAAAAACAAAATAATTTTTGCTCTAGAAATTTATGAAGCCATGAAAAAAAAATTCATTATTTGTGTGTAGACACACAAAAGTCTACAAGAATCTTAATAATATAATCCTGAATAAAAACAGGCACGTCCCTGAAGATTATCTAAAATTGATGCTCTTTTAATGAAGTTCATTTTTGTAAAAAGCCTAAATAATTATTGAGGAAAAAAAGAACAAGAAGATGGTAAACTCAGCATTCACTGTTGTAATTACTTTGGGTAAGGGAGAATGGGGGATGGGACTGGGAAGGATACAGCTAAATGAGGGTTGTGTCTGGCATTAAACCACCTGCTTCAACACCATGACTTCATATTCCACTCTCTCCCTGGAGAGAAGACTTCTAGAAGACAAGCCCAGAAGTGAGTCTTAAAGGATGAGCTGAATCCAGGGTCATGTATACTCAGTCACATATTCCCAGGACCTAAACACACATCCATCAACATAGGTTTCCTGAATGAATGAATGAGTGAATACATGAAAAAATGAGAGAAAAATGTAAAGTTCTTTTGGTTAATATTGAATGTAATCTGAATAACCACTTGCCCCCATAGATGACCTTCCTCCCTATGCATAATGAATTATGTAACTGATTTCCTAATGAGTTGAAAATAAAAATAAATAACATTCTCCCAGAGTAGTAAACAATCACATAGCATTTTCCCACATGGATTATTTTATAGTACTTATCAACTCTGGGCTATATAGGGAGAAAATTATTTCAAATCAAATACAGTACAGAAAAAAGCTTTTTTAATGCACTTTTTTTCAAGAAAAAGAGCTTCAGAAAATATCCATCATTAAGTAGTTTTACAAATGGCACTCTTGGCTACATTACAGAATTAGATATGAATCTTACATGTTTTCTCTGATAGGTTGGTAGTAGATCAGCTTTCTTAATAATGCAACCTTTTCTTAGGATAAAAAATGGCTAGTTTGTTCTAAAAGACAGGAAAAGCTGTAGCTCTAAAGTCATTGTTTTAAAGACTTAACATTTATTTCATATTACACAATGTATTTTCACATAATTTTAAGTATGCTACAATTTTTAAGGAAAACATAAATTTCAACCTAATTTGAAAATAAACATATATCTTAAGTTTATATATTAAAGCATTTGACAATACCATATGCGAACTTTGATGATGAACTTCATTTTGGTACACTGCAGCTTTATCCTTTTGGTACTGAGCTGGGAAAAAACAAATTACACGTGAAATTCTTCCTTAAATGAGGAAAACCATGATCAATGATATCAATCATCTCTAACCAGCTAGTAAAACTGAAATATTCTACAGTTCTTCGGATGATTTATAATCAAAATGAAATGATTAATAATCAACACAAGAGAAGAGTTATTACCATCTGTTTAAAACAGACCTTAAATTTAGACTATTTGTACAATACATTTGAAAGGAATGATTATCTGGAAATGTGAGATTCCATTTTGAACAGAAACCCATGATTTTTAAATTATTAATTGCTACCACTCCAAAGCATTCACCTTTTATAAGATGGTGTGAAGCTGATCACATTTAATTTACTCAAACATGGATCTCTTCTTCATGTTAACCATCATTTCTCAACTAGTCCTTTTATCAATTTATACGGAGATTAATAATAAAACATCAGGCAAGAGGACCACCCCAAAAGGCAACTGCATTTTTCTATCTATAGTAGAATGAACAAACATGGCTTTCAAATCTGAGTTGACAGCACGTATCATGCCAATGAAGAAACAAAAAATGATTTCTATCTCCATCACAAAAACACAAACACATGACACAAACACCTGAGAAAATCAAAAGTGTTTTTCTCTGGGAACAAAGAAAGCCATTGTGGGATTCCCAATGAAACCTCGCACACCACTCACTGATACACATGGACACAACACATGAAACAAAAGCTGTGAGAAAGACTGCTTACTGTTATTTTAGAATAATTCTTGGTGTTACATTTAGGAAAGGAGTTTCTAAATTTTAAAATTTGGCTGTCAAAATATCACACAAAATACTTATTTTTTAATGACATGGTATACCCACCGAAGGCCTGAGTCAGTTAAAATGTATACCCTTCACCTTCACTGTATGTGACACCACTTGCATTTTATGAATACTCCAAAGCCAAAGGCCTGTTTTTACTACATTATCCTCCCTGCAGAAGGCAATACTGTAAAGGACGTAGAATTGGAGGGCAGGAGACTAACATTGGCACAGGCTCTGGCCCCAACAAGCCTTATGAGGGTGGGGTGGGAGCCACCTGACTACCCCACACCTCAGTTTCCTCATTAGCAAAATGAGAAGACTAAACTGCGCTCTCCACGGCTTCACAGGGCACCACCGTTTTAGGATTTCCTGACTGCTGTTTTCATTGGCACTGGGCTTTATTCACAACTTAATATGACACTTTTACCCAGTATTTGGTAAGTACTTTATATTTGGAAAGCTGAAGCTTTTCAATCACTAGGTAACTTCTTGACCCTTTATTTAATAAATAGTGGTACCTTCTCTTGGTGGATTAAAAGTAGCCACAAATTCTTTGCAGCTCCTCCCATCAAAGGTAGAGTCTATTCCCTCACCTCTTGATTCTGAGCTGGTTCATGACTTGCTCTGGACAACAAAATGCTATGGCAGTAACGCTGTGCACTTCCAAGCAAGTCCACACAAGGTCTTGTGGTGGGAAAGGCCCCATGGAGTGGCACTGAGGCACCTCAGCCAGCAGCTCCTGTCAATAACGTGCGTGAGAAGTCACCCTGGACCAGGCAGCCCCCAGCCAACCTGCTCACTAACCCACATGTTTGTGTGAATCTGAACAGCACCGCCTGGAGCAAGGGCCAGCCATCCCCACATGGCTGGCCCGAACTGCCAACCCACAGGATCATAAACAAATAGTCTTAGAAGCCATGTTTGGGGGGATTGGCTACACAGCAATGGAGAACTGACACACTGTGCTGGCTGATGGGACTAGCTGGGGGACAAGACAGTCTCTGTCCTGCAGATGCTCAAAGTGTAGTTCAGGAGACAGACATGCACTGGGACAAGCTCAAAGTAAATGTGGTAGGTGCACTAATTACAGGGAGTTAGGGCACCGGGTCCATGGGGATTTAGAGGAGCATTAATTCCACAACTAGGGAGCTAGAAAAGGTTTCTCAGAGGAGATAGCATCTAAGGAGAGTTAACAAGACAGATTTTTTTTCTCCAGGCAAAGAAGGAGAAAGAATATTTCATGGAGGAGAAACTGCATGTGCAAAGGCTGGAGGGGTCTAAATGGGGCCCCTACAGGAGTGGGAGCATTTACTGTAATTACAGTGTGAGAATGTCAGGGGTAGTCAGGTAAAGCTCTCTTGGCCTTCGGTAGAATCCTCTGGCATTTGGCCTTTAAACTGAGGATGATGAGAACCAAAGGAGGGAACAGTTCCTTCCTCCCTCTTCCCTTCCTCCTTCCTTTCTTTCACCTCACTGTTCATTTGACCACGACATCAATGACATTCTCTGAATCAAAGAAATTTCACAAGCAAGAGGCTATATGGAGTAAATAAAGACAGATACTTCTTTGGTGCTTAGATTGGCTGACAGAAGTGATGTTATGTCAGGACCCAAGATAACAGGCCTTGGGACTTGAGTAAAAAGTAAAAGTAGCAGGAGAAGATGTCATTCCCGGAGAGGTGTTCCTTCTTCTTTTCTCAATTAATGAACACCTGGTGACAGAAGGCATTTAAGAGTCATCTTTCAAAGATGTTTTAAGCCTTTTTAAAAGCTGAATGGTAAGGTCTCCCACTTTCTGGTTGTGTGGACTTGGGCATATGACCAACTTCTTAATAAGTTCAGTTTCCTCAGTTGTAAAATGGAGATAATGACAACACTGACCTCACAGGTCAGTAAGGATAAGTGAGGAGTAGTTGTACTACAGAACTAGGTATGGAAAAGTCCTCAACAGAAGGTCCCTAAATGGGGAAAGGCTGGGAAAGGGCAGCTTTATTGTTGAATAAACCCACGTTTGAATCCAGACTTATATCACTTAGCAGTTCTTGCCACTGTGTGAATTTAGAGCCCATTTCAAAACTTGCTCAGACTTAGTTTTCACATCTGAAAAATGAGAGTGGTAATACCTACCTTGCAGGGTTGTGATAAGGATTAAGAGATCACAAATGGTGACTGCCAGAGCATACAGTATAAATGCACATACACACGGAGACGATATTATTTATCAAATGTAGACCGACAGTATTAATATTAGACATTCTATACTACATCAAAGTCCTAGTCTCTGACTAAAGCTACAGATTGGAAAACTTGGATTATCAGGAACATATATATATGTAACATCTTTAGCACAGTATGTCCATTTCACCAGTACCGATATGTTATGATGATCTATCAACAAAAAATTATATTTTACTTTGTTAATACATGGTAAGAAAGCAACATTGTCATTCAGAACACATTACATGAAATTAAGAAGAATTTAGCATTCCCTGACACCCTAATTTGGCACTATGAGGAATTTCTCCTACATACTAAGCCCTCAAATGCATTCTTTTCTAGACCAATAAAGAAATTCGCTTATATACAAGTGAGTTGAAAAGTTACAACACAAGATGGTGCTTTTGGTGAAAAATATCCCTGCCCAAAAAGCAGCATGTCATGTACTTAGAATATGTTACACTAGAAAGCTAGTAAAAAGTCAGGCCAGTAGGCAATTTAATTTCAAGTTTTATCACAAATGGGCCAAGTTCTAGACTACTTTGCTTAAAAAGGGACAACTTGAAAGTGAAATCTTGCCAGCAGCTTGGTTTTGAATTATGTGTGTATATAAAAACTTCTCTGTTTTTACATTCAACATATTCAGGATTAATTTTAGAAAGCTGTTGTTGCTGATTGACAGAACAAAATGATTTAGGCTCAGAAAGAGAAAACAGAGGAAACAGGTTTAAGCAGTATCTCCCTATCTACCTTACCATATCATCTCAAGGTATTTAGTTTTTAAGAAATGCTGTGTTTGAAAACATAGGTTAGGTTAAAAGTTGATACTAAAGGCAGGAATTAAGAAAAAGTCATTATTTGATGGCTTTTAAGCACTTGAATGCTTTAGAATCTTCTTCAAAATACTAATTAACAGGTAATAGTCCCTTAGATGTTGCTTTAATTTGAAGTTTGGTGAAATCTAGATCCTTTCCTAGAGAATTTCATGCTCATATTAAAGTCTGTGAAAACTATGACTCCTAGTGGAGAGGATTTAGCATGTTGCTGTTTTGGCTAGAGAAGCTTTTCAACAACATTCTCTAAATTAAGATAAAAATACAATGGATGAGAACTACAAACAGAAATAGAGTAAGGCAACTGTACTATGTAAGAAAATTCGATTTCTCAAAAGTTTTTCTACACTGACCCAAATTGTTTTTTTGATGTATTACCCGATTCTTCCACATTCAAACAGTGTGTGAAATGCAAATTAAGATGTGTATGTAAGGAGAAAAGATTTGTATGTCCAAAGCCATCCATGTGTATGGATGTCTTCTCATTGCATTGCTTTGAGCTGTTCTGGCTCTGATCCTCCACAGGCTCCCTGAAGGGCTGGGAGGGCCATCTGTTTAGCACTCTAACTCCTCCATAACTTCCATGACAATCGTCCGTGGGCCAGTCAGAATCAGATTGCTCACAGTCCGGTAGTCTACATGCAGCACGTTGAGCCCATTTACAGAGACAACAAACTGGCAGACCTAAAGGAAAGACAAAGAAATAACAAGTTGTATAGCTCCTGGTTTTTTACAGACCTCTAACAAAGACACTTATCTATAACATGTAACTTCATTCTTAAAATAACCAACTGAACCCAGATGACAACTGCAATTCAATAATTTCCAAGAGACTATACCTTCTCTGGAAGGAAAGACAAAAGTATTTGTTTCAGTGTTTTGCAAAATTGGGTGTGAATCCTAACTCAGCAACTTACTGACTTAAGCTATATATTTAAATTTCTGAGCTTTGACTGGACTGGCTTAAAGATGTCAGAGTGAGATGTGAGACAGAAACCTGCTCCCAAAACCACATATAATATGAAAATATAGCAAACAAAATACAACTAATCCTGCAAGAGTGACCAGAAAGAAGGCTGCGATAGACTGCCTATATCTGGGGAAAAGAAAGACCTCACGGAAAGGGGTAAAGTAGCAAAGCTGCAATCCAGCAGTACCTAAACCCTCCCACCACCCCAGCTCACCAGTGGGAGGAAGAGAAATGGAGTGGAGAAAGGGTGGAGGCCTAGGACTGCTGAACACCCAGACCTTAAGGTCTGCTCTGGGAGCATGAACCTACATTACATGGTACTCTGGAGATTAGAGGGGTTGGAAAGCTAAAACAGGTGGAGTACTGAAACACTGAGATTCCAGCCATTTGTGGAGGACAGGTACCCACAACTGGCTGCTCTGAGACAAAAGAAAGGCGGGCACTTGAAAGACTTCCCAACAGTGAGAGGGCTGCTAAAGCACCAAGGATTACACAGAGCTTGCTCTCAAGAGAAAGGATAGGTGGACAAAATCATCCCAGTGTACTCAGCCCAGTAGGTTGAGAACTTTCAGGAGCTTCAAGCACTCCATCCACTGGCTGGTGATGCCCATCAAGGCAGCCCACCACAATAGCAGCCTGCCACTATTTCCTCCCAGCTAGCACAGGTTCACATACCTGCTGCCCCTGCCATTGTGCAAGGCCTGTCAGAGAGTGGCCCTACCTATGGCAGCTACAGTGACATAATGTGGAAGTGCCTCCCCGCATGCTTGGCTCACTGGCCCTGGTAATGGAGGCAGGCACTGCAGTGGGGAAGCAAGAAAGAGCTCTTTGCTCCTGACAGGCACAGGTTCTGCTTTCCTGCAACCTCCACCATTGCTACAGGTGCTGAGCAGCTTGAGACAGTTGAGCTTAGGGACAAGAGAGTGTGCCACCTGCACAAAATTATTATTCCATATTATTCAATACAAATATGAAATGGCAAAAGAACCTGGTACAAACCAAAATCCCACAAAGACCAGAAAGAGGGCCAAGTGTAACCAAAATCACCAATATTCCTAATAAATATTTCAAAATAAAAATCATCAACATGCTCACAGAGCTACAGAAAAATATTCAAGACCTTAGGGAGGACTTCAAGAAAGAGAAACTCTGAAAAATACAATATCTGAAATGAAACATACAATGGAGGGATTTGAAAGCAGATTAAATGAGGTAGAGGATATGGTAAATGAAATAGAAATTAAAGAACAGAAATATAAAGAAGCTGAGGCACAGAGAGAAAAAAGGATCTCTAGGAATGAAAGAATATTGAGAACTGTGTGACCAATCCAAACGGAACAATATTCACATCATAGCAGTACCAGAAGAAAAAGAGAGAGAAAAAGGGATAGTAAGTCTCCTTCAGGAAACAATTGCT